GGCTGCGTACGGTATAACACACTCATCCATATTCAGAAATGCACTTGAGAAAAAGGGGCTTAGCACAGAATCTGTTTTGCTGGTAGGAATAGCATCAGTGGTTGCAGAGTCAAGTGACTGATACAGTATGGCCCTGGTGTGGTGGCAGGAGCAGATGTCAAAAGGAGCATCTGAAATGTAGCATCTTATGCTCCATGGGGGTAGAAAAGGTGGCAGTTTCTTCTAGTGCCCCATAGTCAGCAGTGGTTTTTATCATCAGTCCAGTTCTGTGGCATGGCTTTGGACATTGTTCCTAGCAGCTTATCTGCAAGTCTGCCTAATTTTTAAGCTCTTACAACAATTCCACGTGTTAGACCAAATACCCATTACTAAATGCCTTCTCTATATCATCAGCCAGAATCAGCTTCTGTTACTTTTAAATAAGAACAATAGAAGTTGTTTCCACAGATGAAGTACTGAAAATCACACAACCTAAAATATTCATTTAGTTGAATTGAAGGCAAGGATGGGGGAACGCGGTATGATTATCATGAGCCTGACCATTACAAGCTTTAAGCTGATGGCTCTTGTCATGTGTGGTGAAATGTAAGGTAGGTGCCTCCCACTGTTTCTTGGAACACAGACCAAGTACTGGCTGAGATTACTGCAATAGGGGAAATAATCAAAATGTCAGTGTGCACTGATTATTTCTTCCTGCTTTCAGCAAAATATTGAAAAAGAGGATGAAGGCAGATTAAGCTAGTTGGGCTGCAAAGCAAAGATAGAAGGAAGTACTCCTTTGCCAAGCGGAACTCTTCTGTCCACATTCTGAAGTCTGATTGAGACTCCTATAATTTATAGCAGTGATTTTCAACTGGTGTGCAGCAAGAATTTTTTAAACATGCAAAACTTGACTATGTGGTCAGGGACACTGAGCTCTTTTCTCTTAGATTGTCAAATAAAAAACTGACAACAGCCAACACAACCATAGCTGTCTGGTGTGAATGAGTCAAAATTATACCTATGTATTTTGTCAGATTGGCAAAAAATATATTTTTTGTTGTGCTGCAGACTTTTAGTAATTACTTTATGTGTTCTGTGAGATGAAAAAGGTTGAAAATCCCTGATTTAGATAGAGCTTTGCAGGGTTGAAAATGTCAATTGCTCCTATCCACTAAAACTAACGCCAACACAAGAAGGGGGCTTCTGAGCTCAAACATGAAATAAGATCGATGGCCCAAGCCCTCTTGTTTGCCACACAAAGATCAGATATAGGACGTACCTACTCGCTTGAGCCTATGGTTTTTCATTACTTCAAGCGTCCATTAGGTTCACTTAGGGGGCTGGGAGGAGGAGGGCAAAAAGGGAAAAATTGGGACAACTGTAACAGTATAACAATAAAAAGGAAAAGGAAGAAGTGTCCATTAGCTCTGACTGGGTAGCTCAGTGGGTTCGAATGTCGTCCTGATACGCCAAGGTTGCAGGTTCATCCTTCGATCAGGGCCCATACAAGAATCAACCAATGAACGCATTAATACGTGGCACAACAAATCTCTCTCTTCCTCTCTTTCTCTTTCTCTCAAATCAATTAAAGAAGAAGAAGAAGTGTCCATTAGCTAAGGGTTAGGGGATGTGCAGAACAGAAGCCATTACCAAAGGATGAACATCTTCATGCTTAGAAAGTATGTGTCAAGATGTTTGCCTCTGGCTACTTGTACATGACAATGACTGAGAAAAAAACATATCTAAAGCTTATAAAGTTTTTGAATGAATTGTATTGCCAAGATACCCCAAGCCTGGCTATCGTTCTTCAACTCTCAGGGCCGGCCTTGTGCCCCTGAACACATATCGACAGGAAGTGCACTCTGAAAGCTTCAGAGACTCACAAAAGGGCATCTTCCCCAATATCCCTACCTCCAGGTAAGGAGGAACCCCCAGAGGGCAGAACCAGGAGCTGTGAAGGACAGTGGGCAATAGAGGATCTTTGACTCTCCCAGAAAACACAGTTAGCAGCTGCCATATTGGCTGACTAGAGAATTTATTGCTTTGCCAAAAGTGAGCCCTTGCTTTTCCTGCCCACCAGGTTTTAGGATTTGCTGTGTGTTTCCCATTCCAGGTTGTTATCGCTGGATCCTATTCTCTACTATGGTCTAATAGGTAGCTACCTTGTTGCCACAGCTGGACCTAATGGAAAAGCAAGCACATCATCCCGAGATCCTTGATTAGAATCTGGATGAGTGAGACCAGAGGGGTCAGGTAGTAAATGAATATGTTCTATAGATGGGAAGAAGGGCATATGTCCATGTGTAGCTTTAAAATGGTGGGTTGCTTGTGCCTCTCCAGTGTTCATTCTTTTTTACCAGCTGAAATACTGTGTTCAAGGTGCAGTGTGCCAAGCAAAAAAAAGTGATTTTGCAGACAATGTGACACATTTCTGGTCATTGTAAGCAGCTGTGTATTAGACGTTACTTCCAAAAAGACTATTGTTTTCCTGTTTAAAGGGCATAGGCCAACCTATCACTCTCCTTTTGCACTTTGTCCTTCTCCCTTCCTGTCTGGAATGCAGATGTGCTGTGATAGCAACAATGAAGGGAAAAACCATGCATGAAGCGGGGCAGAACAGGAAGAGAGGAGCCTGGGTCCTTACTGCACTGAGTATCTTTGGTAGCCTAGGACTACCTACTCTATATTTCTTGATATATGAGAAAATTAAATCTCTTACTCATTTAAACTATCATTTGTTGGACTTTTGGTTAATCTGTCTTTTCCACTAGACTATGAACTCTCTGAAGCTGAGAGTTCAAATTGTCATATAATGTTATTTTAGTTTCAGGCGTACAATATACTGATTCTATATTTGTATATATTATGAAATGATGACCACAAAAAGTGTAGTTTTAGGACCTATACAAAGTTACATTTTTTTCTTAGGATAAGGACTTCTAAGACCTATTTTCTTAGCATCTTTTAATGTATAACATGTATTATGAAATATACTCACCACGTTCTATTGAAGAGACTATTATATTCACCTCTATACCTTCATTTTTTCATGGAATGCCCAGCATAAAATAAGCACATATATGTTTGTTGAATGGAACAATGTACTGCCTTTGTTAATAAGTTAAAACCTAAACTATAATCTGGTGCAAATTCTAAAGATTTGGTCAAGCAGTTGAGATTTAAACAATGGTTAAATAATACTTATTTAACTGATTTTTATTTTAGTAAACCAGATTTACCATCTTGGTAATAAGAGCATTATTTTTAGTCAGATGAGTTATTTTTAAATAAGTGAGAATTTCTAATTTCCCTCTAAATTGAATTCAAATTTATAGAAAAGATGCAAGAAAAGTTGAAGCATATGGGAATTTCCTTTACCCAGATTCCAGAAAGGCTGACATTTTACCACATTTGCTTCACCATCCTTTCTCATTTTTTTGCTGAACTTTCTTTTTCCTTTTTTTTTTTAAGATTTTATTTATTTATTTTTGGAGAGGAGAAGGGAGGGGGAAGGAGAGGGAGAGAAACATCAATGTGTGGTTGCCTCTCATTCAGCACCCCCTACTGGGAACCTAGCCCGCAACCCAGGTATGTGCCTGAGACTGGGAATCGAACCAGTGACCCTTTGGTTTGCAGACCAGCACTCAGTCCACTGAACCACACCAGCCTGGGCCTGAACTTTCTTGAGGATAATGCCTCTTTTCTTGCTAAGGCTCTTAAAAAAAAATTATGGTAGCCCACTTGGATTTAGAACTGGAGAAATACTTTAGGGTATATTTCTTAAAAATATTTTAAACTCATTTTCACCGGGGGCACATCAGCCATGCGGTTGCCTTCAAAGGGCCGAATGTAATTTTAAGACTGTATAAATGTAACAACTCCTTAACAGTTAAGCCAGCACTCAGTACTGCCTTGGGTAGAAACAAGGTCCTGGGCTGGATAAAACAAGGTGGAGGGCTGGGTTCGACCTGAGGGCCTTGTGTTTACCACCTGTGATTTATTATGTGCTTCCTAAATTTACAAGGACTTTTTAAAAAATGTAACCACGATATAACTATCAAAATCAAGATATTAACATGGATACAGTTCAGTTATTCAGATTTTTCCATTTCTCCTAACTGCACTTTATAGCAGCAGGAAAGAAAATCTTCCTCTGCTCTACTACCCAGTTGAGAATCACACAAATGGCAGGTAGTCATTATGTTTTTTTCGTCTTTCTTAATCTGGAGGAGTTCCTCAGTCGTTCTTCATCTTTCATGCTCACGATGTGTTTGAGGAGTTTAGGCAAGTTAGTTCATAGAATGTGGTGTGCACATTTTTTGAACTTGACAATTCACCTGACTTCAGCTTTTTTGGAGTTAAAAAGGAGAAATCATATATCTCTTCAAAATTTTGTATCTTAAGAGCTTTACCTCAGTTGATTCCAGTACATGTCTTACCTAGAAATCAGTATTTGTTGTTGCTCATATTTCTCAGTGGGGCACCAGTAACATTATGACCGGGAGTGTTCATCACAGCGCCAGACGATCCCGCACGTCCCTGGCTCCGGCCCCTAACTTCCAGTAGCATTCTTCAGTTGGTGTGGCCACTCACAACACTCCTAGTTGAGAACCACTGTTCTGTAAAATTTGGAACCTTTAAATTGAGAAAGCAGTCTTGCTTTTGTAGTAAGTAGCATAAAAACATTTTCCAATTAATGGTTTTAACTATCAGTATACTGTAATCAGGTGGTTGATAATGTGCTTTAGTTGAATTCTGTTCAGGTATTTAATTAGTTATATTTAATAATTAAGTGATAAAGGGTTAAGTTGATCATACATGTTTTTATATGGTCTGAAATGAGAATCCTACTGTCTACATTTAAAATCAAAAGACCCCACCCTAGGAGTTAACTGAAACAAAATATCTCTGGAAGATTTGCCTAAAAGTCCATATTTTATTGTAAATTTTAGGGCAAATGAGTGTATTTATTTTTAATTTTAAGGATGTTAATTATTCCCTTTTTGTTTTTCTTTCAGAACTGGTCCCCAGGAAAGACCTTCTTCTAGATAATGTGCCATTTTGTGATGCACCAACGCAGAAGCCATGAATTTTCTAGGATAAAATCAAGTCTTTAATCTTTAATTTTAAAATATATAACTGCAACAAAAGTCCTGGAAATGCAGATATTCTGAACTGGCATACTGAAAATAAGTGAATTAAAGTACAGTTTTATAATTGAATTTCACTTTAAAAGGACATTGCTAAAAACTGCATTCCATAGCTAAGTATTTCTAAAGAACATTAGATAACACATTTCATTTTCATTGAAAATCAAACTTTATGAAGTGAAATAAATGTTTGGGGAGGTTACTTTTCTTTGACTTCAATGAGTCTTAGCATAACTGAGAATGCAGTGTTTTGACAAGTGGATGGGTTTTCCTCCTATGTGAAATGAAACTATTAGATTAAAATTATTAGATTAAATTGACGATTAGTCCCAAGCACATTAAATTGGTTAGAATATCACAGTGTGTGCCAACTCTCCAAGAAGGTCACCTTTGTTTCCTAAATCACTGAAAAGATTTTCGTAAGTAGTAAATAATACAGTTTCTTTGTAGAGATAGAGAATATCTCTTTGTTCCTATAAAGACAACTTTTTCATCAGTCTTCTGATGATAGATAATATCAAAATCACCTAGGATCACTGTGGAATAGAGAAATCTCAATTTTCAAAAGAAACAGTGACCCTTAGTCAAACTGTATAATACAGCCCTAGTAGAGTTAGCTGTGCTTAGACCGCGGCTAGACTTTATTGTCAAATGTAATATATGGCTGCATCCTCTTCATTTTCATCAGTAAAACGTAAATGGCTTTTCTTCTTTCACACATCCCAGTCCTGAAGAGATTTACAGTATTACAAAACATCCTGGCATTCTGCCATCTAATGGTAGGAATTATAAAATCGTATTTAATATTCTTGTTTCTCTTTTATGAGTATCTTTACCACTCAGTTTTTCTCAGTGAACAGTGTGTTTTCTCCCATTCTCTAATCAGTTCTCTCACTCAGTGATGATGACACAGGGTTTTTAGGGGTTTTCTATGTTTTTTTTTAAGATTGTATTTATTTATTTTTAGAGAGAGGGGAAGGGAGGAAGACAAAGAGAGAAATATCAATGTGTGGTTGCCTCTTGCATACCCCGCACTGGGGACCTGGCCTGCAACCCAGGTATGTACCCTGACTGGGAATCGAACTGATGACTCTTTGGTTCGCAGGCTGGTACTCACACCATTGAGCCATACCAGCCCAGGCAGGGTTTTTAGTTTTTACAAGAATCTCAATGCTTTGTTTTTTGGCAAAACTTACTGGTATATCCATGTCAGATATCAAATTTCATACTTAAAAATAGTATTAGGAGTTCAAAACATTATCAAAATTATTTAGATGTAGTACACTTAACATTAAACCAGACACTACCCTTGATGCTTCCTAATACTGTTGAACTGATTAGTTAGTAGTCTGTGAAATGGATTATACATGTAAAAAGATTTGATATATAACTTTTCATGTCCCATGTATATTTCTTATTATGTATGTGGAAGTTATACCTACACAAAAATTAAATGTGTATGCATTTCTGTATACTAATGCTGTATTGGTTATCTGTGATGCAAATGTCTTCTTCTAATATGTGACTTGTCTTTTAACTCTGTTTATGATAAACATGTATTATGGAAGTTTATTTTAATGTATCCATTTTTAAATCTTTTTTATTAATTTTGCTTTTGTATGTTTTTAAGAAATTCTTTTCTACTCCCAAGTCATAAAAATGTTCTAATTTTCCTTTGAACAATGAAGTTTTGCTTTTTATGTTCCAGTATTTATATCATCTAGAATTTATTTTTGTTTTTGATATGAGGGAGGAATCTACATCATTTTTTACGGCAGAGCACTTGGCCTCAGCATCATTTGATCAAATAGCCCATCATTCCCCTGGTTACACAGAAAGCAGTTTTGATCATATACCAAGTTACACTTCAGCTGACCCTTGAACGCAGGTTCAAACAGCACAGGTCCACTTATACGTGATTTTTTTTTTTTTTTCAGTAAACCTATAGTTTCTTTTTAAGTTTTTTTAATTTATTTTTAGAGAGAGAGAAACATCAATTTGTTGTTCCACTTACTTATATGTTCATTTGTTTGATTCTTGTATGTTCCCTGACCAGGGATCACACCTATGATCTTGGCATATCAGGACTCTAACCAACTGAGCTGCCAGTGCCTGCAGAGTTGTTGATACATAGTCGGTCAGGAATTTATGGATACGGAGGGCTGGCTGTATGCGTTGATCTATACCATTTTATGTAGGGGACTTAAGCATTCGTGGATTTTGATATCTGTGAGGTGGGACCTAGAGCAATCCCTTGCAGATACCAAGGGACAAGTTGAGTTTTTGAGGAGTTAGAAATTATACATGGATCCTCGACCGCACAGGGCTTTGACACCCCTTAGCCACTATGTTCACCATTCAAGTATGTTGGAATTAGTTTAACGCTCTTAGCTCATCAAGGACTTTGCTCCTGCAATATTTCTCTCTGCCAAATGTTTTCACCTCTTCCCACTAGATTGTTTAGATTGTTTTCTACAGCATTCAACATTCTGAAATATTTCCCATTTAAAAAAAAAAACTTACTTGAAACCCCTCCTGCCCTCAAGCTTCAGCACCATTCCTCTGCTCTTTGTTCTCAGGGGCATCCACTCCTCTTCCCACTCTCTCTAGTGCAGACTTCAGTCAAGATTCTCCTCCAAAACCCTTCTTGTCCCAGTTACCTGCCCTTCAACTTGTTAAGTGCAGAGGTCAATTCTCAGCCCGCCCTTTATTCATTCTCTCAGTAGCAGTTGGCATAAGCGATCATTCCTTCTTTTCCAAACGGAGAGCTTGACACTGGTAGATTGTAAGCTGACACAAGTAGGGTGCAGCCATGAACCAAAGTCACAAAAATGTCCACCTCATCTTCTGTTTGTCATTCTAGATTCACTCTCAGTCCTTCCTGACCCTGTTCTCAGCCTTCCCTGGAAAGACTGGCCTGTGTGAACCAGCCCCAGTGCCTCCTGTACCCCCTGACTTCTGGTTGGTTCAGCCAGGGAGGACCCTGGCCAGAGATCAAAAGGAGGGAGTGGAGTGAAGGCAGGTATTTCTCTTCCTGGCTCTATCCCTGAAAGGTTGCCTCAGGCTGGCAGTATCCCTCAAAGTTCCTCTTAAGGTGATCTTTGCACAGTTTTTTCTTTCCACTTCGGGGAAGAGCTTCCCTCCCCTCCTTAGGCCTGGAATAGCAACAATTCTTTTCTGCTACCCATGTGGATTCTCCTATACCCACAGTTTTGTAAATAGTCCCTTCATAAATCTTTCTCAGACTACCATAATTTAAATGCATCATGTATTTCCTGTCGGGTCTCTCACTAATTCACTGCCCTGGCGGAACTTACTTCCTGGAAGTGAGATATAAACAATGAATACAATTAGACAAGATTGGATCAGGGTGTTATAGCCATAGTAATTAAAAAGTAAATTAGAAGGTGATAAGTAATACGGAGAAAGATAAGAAAGGAGAAGGAGTTAAGGAAGGTAGGAAGAACAGAGTGTTGTAATTTTAAATACTGTGATCAGGGAAGAGCTCATTAAGAAAGTGTCCATTGAGCAAAGACAAACGATGTGAGGAATCCAGCCATGCACGTAAAACTAAGAGAAGAGCTTTCGAAGCAGAGTAAACTGTAGTACAGTGTCCAGAGACAGGTTCACATCTGCTGTGTTTGAGGAGAGCCAGTGATGGGCAAAGTGATTTAGAGGGAGAGAAACGGGAGATAAAGTCATAGAAATACATGGTAGAGGGAGGTGGAGAGTAAATGCCAGGTTATGTAGGCTCTTACAAAGACTGTGGTTTTTACTCTTAATAAAATGCTGAGCCAGGCCCCCGGTGGGTAGCTCAGTTTGTTAGAGTGTTGTCCTGACATGCCAAGGTTGCAGGTTCAGTCTCCAGTCAGGGCACTTATAAGAAGCAACCAATGAATGCATAAATAAGCAGAATGACAAATTGATGTTTCTCTCTCTTTTTCTCTCCCTCCCTCCTCTCCTTTCCTTCCTCCCTTTCTCTCTCTCATTATTTTACTTTTTTAAATCAAAGTCTAGGATTTATTGGCCTGTTCTTTTAACTTTACCTTTTAAAAAATTATTAAATATTTTACTGTTATTCTGTCACAGTTGTTCCAGTTTTTCTCCCATTGCTCTCCTCTGCCCAGCCCACCCCCTGCTCCCATAGTCAGTCCCCACCCTGTTGTTCATGTCCATGGGTCATTCATACATGTTCCTTGCCTAGTCCCTTTCCTTCTTTCCACCCTTATCCCCCTCCTACTTCGCCCCCTCTGCTCACTGTTAGTCTGTTCCTTGTTTCCATGCCTCTGGTTCTGTTTCGCTCGACAGTTTATTTTGTTCATTAGATTCCTCTTGTAGGTGAGATCATATGATATCTGCCTCTTACCAAGTGGCTTAATTCACTTACCATAATATTCTCCAGTTCCATCCGTGCTGTCACAAAACGTAGGAGTTCCTTCTTTCTTTCTGCTGTGTTGTATTCCTTTGTGTAAATGTACCACAGTTTTTTGATCCATTCATTTATTGATGGGCACTTTGGCTATTTCCAGCACTTGGCTATTATAAATAGCACTGCTATGAACTTAGGGGTGCATAAACTCTTTTGAATTGGTGTTTCAGGATTCTTAGGGTAATATTCCCAGCAGTGGGATTGCTGGTCTTCTTGGTGTTGAGTCATATGAGTTCTTTATACATTTTGGAGATCAAACCCTTGTCCAAGGTATCATTGGCAAGTACATTCTCTCATATGGTTGGTTCCCTTTTCATTTTGATGATGGTTTCTTTATCTGTGCAGAAGCTTTTTAATTTGATGTAGTCCCATTTGTTTATTTTTTCCTTTATTTCCCTTGCCCTAGGAGATTCATTGGTAAAAATATTACTGTGTGGCATAATTGAAATTTTCCTGTCTATATTTTTCTTTAGGGCTTTTATGGTGTTACAACTTACAATTAAGTCTTTTATCCATTTTGAATTTATTCTAGTGTATGGTGTAAGTTGGTGGTCTAGTTTCATGTTTTTGTATGTATTAGTCCAGTTTCCCCAACATCATTTATTGAAGAAGTTATTTTTAATCCATTGTAATCTTCTACCCACTGTGTCAAATATTAATTGACCATAGAGACTTGGGTTTATTCCTCAGCTCTCTATTCTGGTCCATTGACCCATGTGTCTGTTCTTATGCCAGTACCAGACTGTTTTGATTACAGTGGCCTTGTACTATAG